CACAAAACGACGATCATTTTTCTAATTTCATAGATAACAGAAGACAGTATTTTTTGTACATAACCCCCCCCCCTGACTTTAAAACTGGATCCGCCCCTGTATATAGCGGCGGTTCGAATAAACCCAACCAGCGCTCTGACGTCAATTCTATTAGAGCCGTCACTAAGACAGTCCCACGAGCGTTTCACGTTCAGGTCTGGCTGGGCTCCAAGCCTACCTGATAGAGCAGCTCTTCGGAGCGTCGCTTCTCTTGGCTGAGTTCTTCGGTTTTTTCGCTCACCAGCACCTCCAAGTTATTAGCGTACTGCTCCATGCGCCTAAGTAGATCGTCCATAATGTTCTCGCAGTAACCCCTGGAATAATTAAGAGCGCCCATCATTCAATTGCTCAATTATTCATTCGCTCGTTACTGATGCTCTTTGACCCGTTTGTTTTGCATGGTCGCATTAACGCCCCGATGCATTAGTGGCTCATCATGGCGCACCCCAACCAGCTGATGCCTGTAATGCATTTGCTGCTAAATTTTTCAAAATTAACCGAAAAAAGTCGGAAAATGAGAATTTTTTTCGTGGTGCTCAGTCTGATTTTCAGCGGCGTTCCGGCTGTAGCGCTGTTTCACGGCCAAAGGGTCGATTCGAGCCTCGTGCTAACCACCCTGTTGTGTTGCCACGTAGGTCAAGCCCCATTGGTCGGCAGGGTTTGGGCTAAAGCCTCCTTCTTCCAGATGAGCATTGCCTGGATAGGCTTAAGCTGCGCAATGGACGTAGATGGAATGTTCCGCGCAAGCAGTGCGTACTGTTGGGCGCCTGATCGCGCCAATCCAGACATCTGGATGAAAATCCGCAATCGGGCAGCCAATGAGGATCGGCTGACTTTGATTGCCACCCTCCTGGCCCTTATGGGTTTGGTAAGCAACTTTGCAGATTCACAATTTCGGGATTATCTGGAACGCAGTCGTTTGGAGCTGCGAGCCTTTTGGCCAGGCCTTGACTTAGTGGCGGTGATTTTATTCGGCCTGTGGCTCATGGTGGCTGTTCCTGCCACCCTGGCCTTTCCCTGCGGCTTTTACTACTTCAATTGGCATCAGCAGTTTCAAGCCCAACTCTTCGCCGGCCACATTCAAGGTTCGAAGTTCCAGGCCGTCCTTCAGGACGATTTTCCGGACGATTTTCTCTGTTGTAGAAACCCTGGATAGAGCTGAGCTCGATCAGCTGGTAATCTGGGGGCGGCTGAAGCGAGTAGTTCAGCGGCACGAGGCCCTAATTGAGTGAGGGAAACCAGCAAAAACTGACCAAACGCATTGACTTAAAAAAATTTCAGGATATTTCACGTAAGGATGCGGCTGATGTCTATCAAGACCAACGCCATGCAGTTTGGACTATCTGGCGCCTTTCTAGCTACGGCATGCTGTTTTAACATAATGGCAAGTTTCAATGTTTTGCTGCGTTCGCAAATGCTCAATAAAACAGGTCGATTTCAGATCGGCGAAAAACTCGTGACGTCCATACTGCTATTTTCCGTTATTGTAATCTACTTGGAAATGATCTGCAGCTCCACTCAAGGCTACGAAGACTCCGTAAGTTCGCAAAAAACGCATTTTTTTCTAAATTCTGCCCTAGCATGAACTGATGTTCAACTCGGCCTTAATGGTGCCTTGGTATGATTGGAATACGCAAAATAAGCAGGCGTATTTCCTGCTGATGCAGCAGCTCGCCCAATGCGTGCCCTACAAGTTCTTCAATGTGCGCGTAAACCGAGTGTTTCAAATAAAGGTACCGAAAACATCCAAGCTGCAATGAAGGGAAGACATTTTTGTTTTGGTAGTTTCTGGAAAAAGTCTACGCAACCTTCACCATCCTGCGAAAGATAAATATGAATTGAATCAAGCTCACCGCATGATGTTTTTCAAATTTAGACGAATTGACTCGAAGGCGGGCCTGTCTTCAGGGTTGTCGTTCCAGCACCTTTCCATCAGGTCCAGCAACTCCTCCGGACAGTCTCTCTGGCTCACCGCCGGCCTGAAGGGCGGGTTTTCTCTGCTGGCCACTCTTGTGATAATTTCTGCAAATTTCCAAACCACTTTGCACTAATAAAGGCTTCAATAATTAAATGTCGGTTATTTAACGGTCAAAAGTCATTAAACATTGAAATTCGCAGCCTTTAGCCAGGATGCCAAGTTACTAATCGCCAACGTGACGTTCCGCACGTTCAAACTGACAGCGTGCGTTTTTGCGTTTATAACTGAAAAACAAGTTTTCCTCTAGGAATTTTTTTTATTGGCAGTCCAATGCTAAAACGAATATCATAGATGAAGGCGAATATTTTCATGTCACTTTGCATCAGTATGTTGATAAGTTGGCAATTTTACTCTAAAATCAATTGAGGAAATTGCTATTTTGCAAGCAGAGGATGATGCAATGTGCGACCAAGATATGCATGAAGGCGCCGTGGCTTAGTTGGTTAAAGCGCCTGTCTAGTAAACAGGAGATCGTGAGTTCGAATCTCGCCGGGGCCTATCTGTAAATTTTTGCTTTTTTCTATTCCCAATATGCTTTGCAGCCTTTTTGTCTTACTTGTCTTTATCTATGGCCTTTTTCGCTCCAGAACTCATTAATAGTTTGACGGAAGTTTAATGGTTTCCTCACTTTAAAGGCGAGGTTTTTTAAACTTTTCATCTTTAAGTGTCTGTGTTGCCATTAAACAATAAAAATTCAGCAATTAATCAACCATCAAATAATATATTATCTGCAACCGCTAAATGTATAAAGCTACAATAATTCACGGGCGAGGGGAATGTATTAAGCAATTTGCTAAACTCTGAGCGCCATTTACGCAAATCAAGTGAATCTATTGTACACCTAATGTAGCTAGTTAAATCAGAAAATTTACTAATTGGCTGGCGCAGCCCCATCACTCGTCTCCTGCGGCTCCTCATTCAGCTGCGTTCTGATCTCCCTGTTAGCGTTGAGCAGCTGCTGCAGCTGAGCATGAATGTTGTCGTTCTTGTTTTCGATGTCATCCAAAGCAGTAAACAAGGCGTCCAATTGCCTGTCCAACTGCTGGTACTCAGCAACAGTCAGCTCCTCCACATCCTCCTCTTCCTCGACGGGCGGCTCCAGTTCAGCTCCTTCAGAGGGCCCGTTTGAGTTTGTATTGTCCAGGATATCTTTGTGGCGTTGTTCTCCCATGGTTCGAACTGCTTAATTACGTTCTGTGCCTTATTATGCGCTGATTATGGCCATTTGGGGCGGAAATTCACTGATGTTTACCCCGATTTTCTAATCAGTCAGCTGATTTTGAGTTTTCTCAGTGGCTGTCACAACAACACGTGACGGGCTGGGGCAAGGTTGCCAATGAGTTTCCCGGGTTGCACCTTTGCGCTAATATATTTTTCTGTGTGGGGCCTTAAAAGGGCTGGGTTGTTTCATTTGAGCACTCAGTGATAGATCTGGATGTTTTGTCAGTGATTTCAGTCATTAGGGCCCATCGAGTTTTTCCGGCTGGAGCAATTTAGAAGCGGTGCACATCGGCAACCTTGCAAGTTCACCCCATTTAAGAGCGTGGCCATGGCAACTTCAACTACACTGCTCGCACGTATTAGCAAAAACGGAAAAATTCCTGCTGGGGGAATTTTTAAATTCAAATCTTCTTACCTTCAACCTCCAGATACCTTCTGGCAGCCTCATAAGGACCGCCGCGCACAATAATTTCTTCCAGAATAATGCCAAAGCTGTACACGTCGCCTTTTTGGGTGGCTGGATTGCCTGGCACAAGAGTTAAGGGCAGAAGCTCGGGAGCGACCCACAACATTTCTGGAATGGAGCTTTTGCTCAGAACCGTATCCAAATTAAGTAACTGAGGGGCTTACTGTTAAAATAACTGGTGTCCTTGATGACGTCCACAGGGATGCTGAGCGAGGTGAGCCCAAAGTCGGAGATTTTCAGCACAAACCGGCCGTCGATTAGACAGTTGCAGGAGCGCAATTTGCCGTGAAAGGAGATGTCGCAACCGTGCAAGTAGCTCATGCCCTGCAGGATTTCGACT